TAAAATTTAAAATTAAAATCTGGTATTAAATATACCGTATTTTAGGGATGGTGGACTTGTATGTGTTAATCAATTTAAAAAGAAAAGTTAAATTTATTTTTTAAATTTTCAGCAATTATTTTTCTTTGCTTGATTGAACAGGAAGATGAAATTTTAAAAAAAGTGTTAAGTGTTTGTCGAATAATTGGTTACAGAAAATGATGGAGCTTTGATTTGCATTTAATAAATTAGGCATTTATTTTTACTAAAATTCTCATATTATCTTTTTTAAAAATGTCAATATTTCGGATGAAAAATCAAATACCCTAAAAGAGCAGGGGTAAACTCGTCCATATGAGGTGATGCTGAAAAGTTATTGGCCTATCTAAGAAGGGATTTTAAAAAATTATGTGTGATCAATTGATCTGATTTTAGCAAGATAGTTGAGTCGAAAAATTTTCGCAACCTTTTCTTATTAAAAATCAAATAAATTATAACTGGCAGTATAATAGAAAGGTACGCAAGACAAGTTGTCATCTTCTCACCAGATTTATTCAACTTTTATAGTCAGGCTATATAATGGACATTGTCAAACACTGTTTATTCTTTCCTTTTTCTTTTCTTAAATCGCACTCTTTTCTTAACTGTTGAAAAATATTGAAAGAGTTACATCAATCATTTTGTTTATTATTATTATTATTATTATTATTATTATTCAGTTTTTAATTCTTATTGCTGGCAGTATAATAGAAAGTTATGTAAGACAATGTTGCCTCTTCTCACCGGATTTATTCAATCTTTATAGTCAGGCTATCTTGATGGTGCTGGAGACTCTACCAGAATTTATTATCTGTGGACGCTATTCGATACTGTGTCGATAACTGTTGTGTCGGAAAACTACCACCCCTCTTGAAGATGAACTTGTCGGCGTCTGTAAACAAAGACTTTAAATAGTGGCATGTCAGTTGACATGAAGATGGATAGACAGAGAAGTTCTTAGCTGAGCTAGTTATTGACTACTCAGGCGATTTCTGTACCTTTTTACCAACCTATTAAAACCCTTTTTATTGTTACGTGTTATTTGGCGTTTGTCTCTACTAACTCCAAATCAACATCATAACAATAACTGACACTGAAAGAAAACTACAGGACCTCTATAGTAAAGGAAAGCGAGAAGAAAGGACTAATCCTCAATCGACAGAATGTATGATCATCAATATATCCTTATGATAATCATCAAGGAGTCAAGTAGTAGAAAGTTACGTAATATATGTAATAGAAAAGTATGTAAGATGGCGCTGGAGACTCTACCAGGATTTATTATCTGTGGACGCAATCTTAACCCTATAAGATACGTAGGCGGCCCTGCACTGACGGCTGAAACAGAAAGCAAACTACAAACCTATAAGATATTGTAATAAAGGAACGCTAGAAGAAAGGACTAACCATCAACTGTAAGAATGGTTATCGGCACATCATTATGCTGTTTATCAAGAAGTATCAACTGGTCATTATTGTTAGTATATGCCTTAAGATCCTTCATGAATAGCATGTGTTTGTTGGGCTGTTTCTGATCCTTTGTAAACTTATAGCCAGATTTCATCCTAATGTGAATCAGAGTCAGGCGCAGTATGAGAATCACAAATCCCAGCGGAGATACCGAGTCGACATGAAACAACTCACGCTTGATTTGTACTTCGCCAATGGATTTCATCTTGTCACTGAGTCTTGTCCAGCAGTAGAACTCTCAGGTACTTATAGCAATCGCTATCTACTTTCTTCATAGGTTCTACAACTGTTATCCACCTCTGCTAACGTCTTCTTTTGCAGCACCTCCCTCTTATCAAGTCCAAATGACTTCCCCTTACCATAGGAGCATATAGTAACTGTGTTTGGCAAGGTCATTATTGGTAGCATACGTCTTGATATTGTGAAACAGAGTCAACGGCAGCATTTTTATATTTTTATCCGGGGATCAAGGAAAGGCCTACGCTTAACAAAAGACGGTCACAGGCTGAGAAGAAGAAGAAACTATCTCTGATTCTTTGTACTTCATTCTTATCAAGTCCAAATGACGACCTGATATCATGGGAACAAAAGCTAACAGTGTTTATAACGAGTCTAACTCGTCATTTTTGGTAGCATATGACCTAAGATACTTCATGAATAAAAGGTGATTGTTGGGCTGTTTCTGATCCTTATACTTAAACTTATAGCCAGATTTCATCCTAATGGGAATCAGAGTCAAGGGCAACAATGATGATCACAAATTCCAGCGGGGATAGCGAATCGACATGAAACATCTCACGCTTGATTTGTACATCGCCAATGGATTCCATCATTGAGAGTCCTCTCTAGCGATAGAATTTCCAGGTACTTATAACCATCGCTATCTACTTCCTTCATAGGTCCTGTTCCTTTGTTATCTACCTTTGTTCATTTCTTCATTTCCAGCACTTCACACTTATCAAGTCCAAATGACTTCCTGATACCATAGGAGCATATGCTAACAGCGATTATCAATGAGTCCAACTGGACGTTATTGGTAGCATATAAGTTAATATCATCCATCCTTAAGCCTTCTTCTAGCTTACGGCCGTATTACATTGAAATACCGGTTCTCGTCAGATCACTGGAGATGAAACCTGGTCAGAATCTAGATGGATGGCGTTTAGTGATACCAGGCGCTGTAAGCTTGGATGTTGTACGATGTGCGATGTGGTGTAATGGATGACGACACGGAATGAAAATTGGAGAGTAAAGTTCCAATTCCAGTCGGGTTCCTTATATTCACTTACGCGCAAATACACTTGAGAGATCATGAATCGAAAAGAAGAATGCTTTCCCAAGCGTGTCACATTCACCCCGCCTTACCAACACGCATTGGGCCAGCATCGTAGGGTAAGGACCCATTCCTAAACCCATGTGTTTGGAGAAGGCCTACGCCCGACAAATGACGCTTATAGAAGAAGAAGAAGAAAGGAGGAGGGAGAAGAAGAAGAAGAAGAAGAAGAAGAAGAAGAAAGGAGGAGGGAGAAGAAGAAGAAGAAGAAGAAGAAGAAGAAGAAGAAGAAGAAGAAGGAGGAAAAGAAGAAGAAGAAAAGAAGAAGAAGAAGAAGCTATCTCTGATCCATTGCAAACGTTGCCAGATTTTGTCTTATTGTGAATCGGAGTCAACGATGATCTTAACTAGCAATGAAGATAAGTCGACCTAAAATGTCTCACGCATGATTTGTACTTTGCCAAGATATTTTCCTCTTGATATTACACGACCATCTAACTAATTATGCTGTTTCGTGTAATTGTTACAATGTTCTTAGCTACACCAAAATTATCAATGCATTTTAGGATTCAGGAATATGGTACAATATCATACGCGTTTTGATAATCTATCCCATTAATAGACAAGTTTCCCACGCGTCTCCCGAATTTCTTACGGTAATTATTATTAGTAATATTATTATTATTATTATTCCTTGGTTTTCTGTTGTATACACATTTCCTTCCGGATCCCAACCACAGACCTAAGGTCAGAAATGGCTTCATGACATTTTCCACTGATCATTTTTGATCACACACATTTTACATAGATAAAACTCTTCGTAATGTGTGAGCTGTAGTTGTGAGTTCATTTTTTGTATTTCTTTAAGGCTTGGATTACCAGGAATCCTTTCAATGTGTCTATTGGAAACTTTTCCAATCTATCCGAGGGCTCCAACTACAACTGGAATTATTGATGTCATTATGTGCCACATTTTTAGATTTCCACTTCAAGATCCTAGTATTTTGATAGTCTTTTGAATTTTTTTCAATGATGCGTTACAATCTGTAGGAACTACCATGTGAATAAGAAAGCATCTTCTGTTTTTTTTTGTTTTGTTTTTTTTTTTTTTGTTTTTTTTTTTGTGGCCTTTGATCCCGATGTCAGGGCGATTAACTTTGATTGTTCTGTCTGTATGCATTGTAAAGGTTCATAAAATTGTTACAGGTCCTCTCTCAGTAACCGAGTCTGGGTGAAGTTCTTGCAGTTTCCTTTCCATAAAAGTTGCAGATATTCCGGTGCAGATATTGGCCCATTCTGTCATGCTGAGTTTTATTTTCAGTGGGTGCTAACACAGTGCAACCTGATACAATATGGTCAATTACTTCTGGATATTTATCACAAAATCTGCATCTGGGGTTAACACAATTTTTCAGTATGTGTGCTCGATAATATCTATTTAGCAAGCATTGGTCCCATTCAGCAAGAATAAAACCTTCGGTTTCAGCATTTAACTCTGCACTACATAACAACTGATGGGTGCGGAGTTTGTCTACATCAGCTTGTTTGGTACCGGCAGAGTAATGACCCTGAAGAGGATTATCTTGCCATCGTTTTTGCATTTGATACATTTCATTGGCTTTTGCTTTCTTTTTGAGGGTCTTTGTCGCTGCAGTAGGTGTATTATGTGTTATTTGTATGGTATTATGATATTTATATGGTTTTATTTTATTATTATTATTATTATTATTATTATTATTATTTTCTTTGATTTCTGGCGTTTACACATTTCTTTCCGGGTCCCGCCCAAGGACCTAAGTTTAGAAATGGCGTCATGACACTTTCCACTGACAAAAAAAAATACATAGATAAAGCCCTTCGTAAAGTGTGGGCTGTACTTGTCAGAACAATTTTTTGTATCTCCTTGAGGCATGGACTTCCAGGAATCCCTTCAATTAGTCTACTGCAATCTTTTCCAACCAGTCCTAGGGCTCCAACTACAACAGGGATTGTTGATGTTCCCATATGCCACATTTTCGAGATTTCTATTTCAAGGTCCTTGTATTTTGACAGCTTTTTGAATATCTTCAAAGATACAGTGCAGTCAGCAGGGACTATCTTCAAAGATACATTGCAGTCAGCAGGGACTGCCATATTATTATTATTATTATTATTATTACTGCTATTATTATTATCATGATTAACTATGCGTTCTATTTTCACACCTCTATCTATTGAGCTCACGAAAAAAAAAAAGGCTTACAGCTATATCATGCTGAAACACCGGTTTCCGTTCGATCACCAAAGTTAAACAACATCGAGCCTGGTCAGTATTTAGATGGGTGACCGTTTGGGAATGCCAGGAGCTGTAAGCTTGGATGTGCGGCTAGGGCAATAGATAACGAAGCCGAGTTCCAATTCAAGTCGGGATTGTTATATTCTTTCACGCGCAAATACATTTTGAAGAGGTATGAATCCAATCCTTCTTCCACCCACCCCCAGCTATGGGTTAATTAATAGAATTTATCAGTAAAGCATTACTATTTCCAAGAAAATTCTTACAATCTAAAGATAGTTTCTGGCTTTAAATAACCAGCAAAAGGTTGATTAGCTGTAAAACACAAATCAATCAACCAATCAAGAAAAATTGAAAGTAAGTCTCATAAATAGCCTCTATTCAGAGTGTCAGTGAGTTTCCGCAAATCTCCAGCACCTTCCTCAGTATTTTCACCGATAGGCTCAACTTTTTCTCGTATCTCCAATTCGTCTGCTATAGCTCCAAGTGCGCCATTTCTTATATTTCACAGATTATTCAGCTCCCGGTCGATGTCCTGGTATTTTTCTATTTTCCCGTCCCGTTTCTCGTTGTCTGCTTATAAAGCTACGCCTGCTCTCTGACAGACTTTCTTTACTTTGTTCCTTAACAAATGGGATCTAGAAGAATACAAGAAAGAAAGAAGGCGAAGTAGAAAGGAAAAATGCAAAGAAGAAAGAAAGAAAGAAAGAAAGAAAGAAAGAAAGAAAGAAAGAAAGAGTCGTTGAGAATAAAAAAACAACGAAAAGAAAAGAAGCAGAAAAGAAAGAGATTTTAACGAAAATAAAAGGCAATGAAATAAGAACTAAGGAAAAAACAAATAACAAGTAGAAAGAAAGAAAGAAAGAAAGAAAGAAAGAAAGAAAGAAAGAAAAATAAAAAAAAGAAAGAAAAAATTAATACATCAAGAAAGAAAAGTAGAAAAGCTACATGTCGATAGTAAAAAAAAAAAAGTAAGCAAACGCAAGTGTGCAAAAAATAAAAAGAAATAAATGTAACCTTTGTCATTTTCAATTTCTATCTTGCTAGTCAAACGTTGAAGTTATCTGATCTTGGCGTTAATGCATCCATTATAGGGACAATTGATATTTTAATAACAAGCTGTCAATTTCTGGAACATTCCGTCAAGATTGTTCTTTATGGAAGAGAAGAGAAATTGAGATTGGCAGTTGTTTACGACAAAGAGGCGGAACTGTTCAAAAATAAGTTTGCCAAGCTTTATAAGTAGATAGAGAAAGAGAGGGCTAGAGAGAAACCATGTAGACAGATACATTAGATAGATAGATAGATAGATAGATAGATAGATAGATAGATACGAAAAATGATATACTGTAGATATATTAAAAAAAAAAACGAAATAAATATCTCGCTAGACAGATAGATATGCAAGGAAATAAATAGGTAGATACACACACACACACACACACATATATATATATATATATATATATATATATATATATATATATATATGTATAGAGAGACAGACAGACAGACAGACCGATCGAAAGACAGACAGGTAGATTCCTAAGAAATTGACGGCTATATTACACAGCCTTATTTCCTACTACACCCAAAGCTATTTTGTTTATATCCATGGTTGAGTAGACGCCCTTTTTTTTCTTGGCTTTTCTTGTTTTTTTTAACAATGTGAATTGCGTCTACCGGCCTACACATTCTGAATATTTAATAAAACAATGACAGATTAGATGGAGATTTCATTGTACTCTGCTACGTATTCTGCCTGGATATTACAGTAGCGGCCATAATACAAGGAACAGAAACAACAAAGACATAAATATGTGTATTACTTAAAAAGTAATGCACGATTAGCAATGAAATTTTTAGCGAATAAAGATTAGGGTGTAATACATAAATATTATACAAAGTTATAAAAATTTACATAATGTTTTTATTTTTAAATAAAGATTAAATGGAACAAATAAATAAGCTACTGGACAAAAGTTAAGGAACAATCTTGTTAATACTTGATTGTGAACAAAATATCAACAAAATTTAATATTTGGTAAACATCCCCTTATTTTCAATGACTTCTCTGCATCGTCGACCACATGATCTAATTAATTTCTTACAAAAATCAGCAGTAATTCCCTCCCATTCGTCTTTCAATAACTGGTTTTTCGGGTTTCTTTTCTGAGCCCTTTCTCCAATTATCTTCCAAACATTTTCTATTGGATTCAGGTCGGGGCTCTGGGCTGGCCACTTCATTTGGGCGATTCCTTCTTCTTTAAATAAAGCCATAACCTTCTGAGCCTTGTGGCAAGGTGCATTGTCCTGTATGAAAATAGGAAATTCATAAAGATTATGGTGTAATCTTGGTACCACATGCTGCTGAAGAAGCCTTTTGTAAATCTCAGCATTGATATTGCCATGTACGCGGATGATAGGGCCAACTCCTGCAGATGAAATCATTCCCCACACCATCACACTGCCGACACCAAACTTAACGGTTTTCTTGACACATTGAGAAGACAGTCTTTCACCTGTTCTACGGCGTACGTAAGTTTTGCCCTCAGAACCAAATATAGTAAACTTGGACTCGTCACTGAAATGAACTGTATCCCATTGTGCGTCAGTCCAAACAACATGTTCTCTTGCATACTCCAGACGTGCCCTTTGGTTTCGCTTTGAAATAAGAGGCTTCGAAGCTGGAATACGGGCATGAAATCCTGCATTTTTTAACCTGCGAGGAACCGTTTTCCTTGAGATCTTATTATCTGTCTCTTCATTAAATTTACGGGCAATGATGTAGCAGTTTCAAAACGGTTTTTTGTAGATATTCTAACAATTCTTCGATCGCCTCTTTGCGATGTTTTTGGAGGTCTGCCGGTTTTTGGTTTTGCATCTAACGTTTTATCGGTTTTATAACTGCTAATTACACAATGAACGACACTTTTTTAGACCTATGAACAATATCAGAAATTTCTGAAATTGACTTTTTTTTTCTTGATAGCGATAATGAGTTTTTTTCTTCAAAAGTGAGCGTTTTGCGTGTAGAATTTGCCATATTGCTTAAAAATAAAGTCCTAATGATAGATGAACTTTTACTTATTGTTGAAAAGCTCCATCGAGTTTTTTTAACAATGTAAATTAAAAGTTTATGCAAATTGTTAACATCGTTCTTTAACTTTTGTCCAGTAGCTTATTTCCTTTGTTCCATTTAATCTTTATTTAAAAAAAAAACTTTTATGTAAATTTTTGTAATTGCTAATTGCATTATAATATTTTTGTCTTTTGCATTACACCTAATCTTTATTCGATAAAATTTAATTACTCAAACATGAGTATTCACAAATCATGCATTACTTTTTTGCGGACCCGGTAGGGTAATACATATTTATGTCTTTGTTGTAAAAAAAGCGTTCCGTTCAACGAAGAAATATATAAATAAAAACCGCTACTGTATATTTACAAGAGTAATTTTTTAGTAAGTATGTCGATTGCGCAGTCCAATAGACGTAATTCACAATGTTTAAAAAAAGTAGGATTTCTGACAAAGTGGAAAATGATTTGTAGTATTAAGGACAAAATATAATGTTTTTTGGATTTAGTAGGAAATAAGGTCGAATAAAAATTGTCGAATCCGAATGACGAGCAAAAAAAAAAGTTAGAAATGAATGACCAGCCTGTCTATGTCTCGGAAAATTTGCGTCTATCCCAATCATAACGTTTAAAATAGTAGGAAATTATTTTTTTTTTTTAAAGATTTAATCGATTTATTTTTAATCTGCAATTTTTTGATTATTTTAAACGTTATCATAGTGGATATTCCGTATTCGAAATAAACGCCCCATTTTTATTTAACAAATAATGTGTATTACGTTTATCGGCCTGCATGTTTCAGAAAGAAAAATGCGTTCCCAGACAGAAATCGAAACTGTGTCTACCTTTTTAGGAGAAACGACAGTTTGAGTTAATGTGATTTGATCTTCCTTTGTAGGGGAAAACGCCTTTTGAAGCAATGTGCTTTAGTCTTGCTTTTGTTAGCCATGTTTGCCGTAGTCTTTGAATATAGAATCCAGTCAAGTACGTAATGTATTCAATATCAGAGGTTGGCAGTGAAGATTCAGAGAAAGTAGCAGCTGTTAAGTAATTCTTTAAGTCTTCGATATCAGGGGTTGGCAGTGAAGATATTTTGGGAGAAAAAAACAAAATGGCTGCCTTTATACACGTCGCATTGAATATTTTGAGCTTTCTGATTGGTTAACCCTTCTATTGGTGAACTATAAAATGAGTCAGCTCATTTTGGTTGGCTCACTAGTACATAGTACCCAAAAATTAAAAAAAAACGCCATTTGAGACAAATCGCCGAAGTCTGCCTTTGTAAGGTAAGCCGTCGTTTGAGACAATGTCCTTTAGCCTTCCTTTGTTGGGACTAAAGGACATTATTTGAGGAATTGTGCCTTAGTCTGCCTCAGGAGGGGAAACCACAGGTTGAGAAATGTCCTTTAGTCTTCCTTTAAAAAGGAACTCACCGTTTGAGGCAATGTGTTTTAGTCTGCCTTTGTAGGGAAAGAAGCCGTTTGAGGCAATGTTCTTTAGTCTCCCTTTGTAGAGAGAGTCTGTCTTTTGAGGCAATGTGCCTTAGTCTGCCTTTGTAGGGAAAGAAGCCGTTTGAGGCAATGTGTTTTAGTCTTCCTTTGTAGAGAGAGTCTGTCGTTTGAGGCAATGTGCCTTAGTCTACCTTTGTAGGGAAAGAAGCCGTTTGAGGCAATGTTCTTTAGTCTCCCTTTGTAGAGAGAGTCTGTCGTTTGAGGCAATGTGCCTTAGTCTGCCTTTGTAGGGAAAGAAGCCGTTTGAGGCAATGTGTTTTAGTCTTCCTTTGTAGAGAGAGTCTGTCGTTTGAGGCAATGTGCCTTAGTTTGCCTTTGTAGGGAAAGAAGCCGTTTGAGGCAATGTTCTTTAGTCTCCCTTTGTTGGTGAAAACGGAATTTGAGGCAATGTGCCATTATATTCCTTTATAAGTGCTGTGGTAGGATCCACCTAATTTGCATAGTGGAGTACCGACCATATAAATATGGTTGGTACCGGGAAGAGA